GCCCAAAGCAAATAATGTATAACCTCATTTAGGTCTCAACCTATGATTGTTAGCTGTATCAAGTCTTTTTCAAATTTTCATACCAGAAGAAATTAACACAACACTGAGTAATGAATTCTTATGAGGCCTGCAACATGTAAACTGAAGAAATCCATACATTATGAGAGAGAGAGAGAGAGCATACGCAGAGAGAGCCGTTGTCGAATATACATTCATCTATATATATATATATATACAGAGAGAGAGAGAGAAAGAGAGAGCATACGCAAAGAGAGCCGTTGTCGTCGTCGCCGGACCAACCAGAGCTGTTGTCGTCGCCGGACCAACCAGAGCCGTTGTCGTCGCCGCCGCACCGCCGCACCACCGCTAGAGAGAGCCGTTCGCCTTCGTAGCTCGTTTGAGGAATTTGGGGGAAAAAAAATGTTTCGAAGATTTAGGGATTTGGCTGAAATCATCGAGCAGCAAGATGAAAGGGAAGGGCGGGGGTAATTTTTTTAAAAAAAAATTTTGCGACGGTTCGTTTTACACCGTCGCCGATGGTTACTAATTACATCATAAAACGGCGCCGTTTTAATAAACCCCTTTTTGCGACAGAAGTTTGCCGTCGCAAATGGCTACTGTTTGCGACAGCAAACATATGCCGTCTCAAAACTAATTTTTTTTTGCGACGGTAAAAAACGCCGTCGCTAATAATTCGACATTTACTAACTATCCGCGTTGTTTTATTACCAACGGGACAAACGCCGTCGCTAAATCCTTTATTTGCGATGGTATAAGTTGCCGTCGCAAAAAACCATTTTTTGCGACGGGAGGCGCGCCGTCGCTATTGCTTCCGTGTTGTTTGACCCCTTTTCTTGTAGTGTTTTGTCCTTTTTATTTAGTTATAAATGAATAGAGTTTGAGACTATTGCCTTAAAATTTTAAAATCATACTCATGGCCCAATTTTCCTAAAAAATATATTGAGATTATAAATATGTTTTTATTTGTTTCTTATTGATAACCTTAGCCTCCGTCATTACCACTACAATGTTAAATAGGCCATAGCTTCTTTCTCGTCTAAATTGAACTGGAGCGTACTATTGGGTCTCTATAGGTCCATTACAGAATCCGCATCGATAATCCAAACGGTTTAATGTGTAAGACTCGTCAAATATTTCATTGCTGTAAAAAATCACGTTAATCAGATATCAATAGCTACTAAAGTAGATCACGTTTGTAACATGATTTATGCAAGGATGAAATATTCGACAAGTCCTACATATTAAATGATTTGGATCATTAATGCAAATTTCATGATGGACCCACACGGAGAGAGGAACATCTCCCTTTTAATTACAATATTATTATTTTTTAATTTATTTTTATAGTAAATTTATTGTTAGAAAAATTGATAACTTCTAGTAAATAATAAAAAGCGAACTTTTTATTATAAAAAAGTCGAGGGGATTCCTTTTTTTTTTAATAATAAAAAATAAATTTACTTACTTACTTTTTTTTTTAATTATTTAAACACTAGTCAAGAAGTGGCTCTTATTTTTGAGCTTTATATCTGTAAGGAAAAGTGTAGGAATCCACCCTTATTCACTAGGAAATTTTGGATAGATGGCCTACTTTGGAACATAGTTAAAAATTAAATTTTGATTTTTAATTTATTTTGAGTCATATTATTTCCTTGTATTTTTATAATTTTTTTCAAAAAATAAAAATAAAAAAAAAGTCAAAAAAAATCAATTTTTAAAATTTTTTCAAAAAACCAATATCTTCATTTGGCATGTTGGTTTTAGGGGTTAAAAGGTTAAAATAATCACAAAAAAACAAAATAGGCAAAAAAATTAATAAGACAAAATATCACATTTAAATTATAATCATTTCACTTTTCTTTTTTTTTTTCACAAAAGTTAAAAAAGTCAAACAAAAATGAGACTTTAGTATAAGCGGCCTCGTTTGGAAAGTAGCTTTTTTAGCTAAAAAGTCAAAAAGTTATTAAAAAAATCAAAAAGCCAACAATTTATATTAAAAAGTTGAGGACCTTTCTTAGGTGTGCCTTACATATGATATGTAAGGCACTTACACCTTTCTATTTTACCTTTACACCTTTTTATGTATTGAGTTATACAAAAATATTTGAAAACAAGCACATTGGTGACCTGCTAAGCAGGTCACTTTCCAGGTAAATGAATAAAAGAATATATTATATGACTAAAAGTGTAAATAATTTCACAAAAGGTGTAAATTTTCACAGAAGGCGTAAATTTTAACAAAAGGCGTAAGTAATTTCAGAAAAAGACGTAAGTGATTTTTGAAAATTTACACCCTTTGTGAAAACTTACGCCTTTTGTGAAAACTTACACCTTTTGTGAGAACTTACACCTTTTGTGAGAACTTACACTTTTTTGTGAAAGTACTTACACTTTTCTGATAACTTACACCTTTTGTAATATTACTTACGGAAGGTGAAACTTTTGACAACTTACACATAATACTTACATCTTTTGTAAAAACAAGTTATACATTTTCTGAAAAGTTACACCATATGTGAAAATTTTTATTTCATAAAATTTACACCTGTTGTTAAAACGTACACATTTTCATGAAAATACTTACAGCTTTTCTAAAAAGTTACTGCTTTTGTGAAATAATTTTTTTGATAAAATTTACACATTTTATTGGAACTTACACATTTTCTGAAAACGGAACATATACCTTTTGTGAAGCTACTTACATCTTTTGTGAAATAACATACATTGTTTCTGAAAAATTACACCTTTTGTGAAATAATTTATTTCATAAAATTTACACATTTGACTAAAATTACACATTTTTCTGAAAATTTACACCCCTTCGTAGAAATAGTTACACATTTTTTGAAAAGTTACTCATTTTGTGAAATAATTTTTTTCATAAGATTTACCCATTGTATTGGAACTTACACCCTTTGTGAAAACGAAACTTACACCTTTTGTGAAGCTACTTACATATTTTGTGAAATAAGTTACACTATTTCTGATAAGTTACATCTTTTGTGAAATAATTTCTTTCATAAAATTTACACCTTTGACTAAAAGTACACATTTTTCTGAAAATTTACACCCTTTCGTGGAAATAGTTACACATTTTTTGAAAAGTTACTCATTTTATAAAATATTTTTTTTCATAAAAGTTTACACTTTGCATACACCTTTTGTGAAAACAAAACTCATTTCACAAAAGGTGTAAAATTATGAAAAAAATTATTTCACAAAAGAAGTAACTTTTCAAAAAATGTGTAAGTACTTCCATGAAAAGGTGTAAATTTTCAAAAAAGGTGTAAGTTTTAGCAAAATGTGTAAATGTTATGAAAGAAATTATTTCACAAAAGACGTAACTTTTCAGAATTAGTATAAGTTATTTCGCAAAAGATGTAAGTAACTTCACAAAAGGTGTAAGTTTCATTTTTACAAAAAGTGTAAATTTTATGGAAAAAATTATTTCACAAAAGAAGTAACTTTTCAGAAACGGTGTAACAATTTCCACGAAAAAATGTAAATTTTCAGAAAATGTGTAAGTTTTAGCAAAAGATGTAAATTTTATGAAATAAATTATTTCACAAAAGGTATAACTTTTCAGAAATAGTGTAAGTTATTTCACAAAAGATGTAAGTAGCTTCACAAAATGTGTAAGTTTTGTTTTCACAAAACGTGTAAGTTCCAATAAAAGGTGTAAAATTTATGAAAAAAATTATTTCACAAAAGGAGTAACTTTTCAGAAAAGGTTCCACGAAAATGTGTAAATTTTCAGGAAAAGTGTAAGTTTTAGCAAAATATATAAATTTTATGAAAGAAATTATTTCACAAAAAGCATAACTTTTCAGAATTAGTGTAAGTTATTTCACAAAAGATGTAAGTTCACAAAAGGTGTAAGTTTCATTTTTACAAAAGGTGTAAATTTTATGAAAAAAATTATTTCACAAAAGGAATGATTTTTCAAAAATTGTGTAAGATATTTCACAATAGATATAAGTAGCTTAAGTTTTGTTTTCAGTGTAAGTTCCACTAAAAGTGTAAATTTTATAAAAAAAATTATTTCAGAGAAGGAGTAATTTTCAGAAAATCTATCGATCTTGGTCTCTCTATCAATCTCTGTCTCTTCTCTGTCGATCTCCGTCTCTCTCTCTCTCTGTCGATCTTCGTCTCTCTCTGTCGATCTCGGTCGATCTCGGTCTGTCTCTCTCTGCCGATCTCTCTTTGTCGATCGCCCTCCCAAACGCTTCGTCTCTCTCCAGAATTCTAGAGAGAGAAACACCAAGCCCTCCCAAACACCTCTTCTCTCACACATTGCCATTGTTTGAACAACAACACAAATACAGTTTGATTCGATTGTAGGAGCTCTTTGCAATTTTCGTTCCTCTCTCTCTACCCGAAAACATCAACAGATCTGGACTTGGGTAACTTTTTGGCTCCAATTCGATCAGGTTTGATATCTTCTTCTCTCTTGTAGATCTAGGTTTGCTTCAATTCTGAATTGTGGTGATTGATTGATTGTTTCAGACCTGGGTTTGATTCGTTCTCGGGTTTTTGGGTCTCAATTTTGTTGTTTTAACACAGATTGAGCTCAGATTTAGCTATATTAATCATTTCTGTGATCATTTTCATTCATTGATCGTCTCATTTTTTTGTTTGATATGTTAACATGGGAATTAGATTTGTAAAATAGGACTTGGAATTGATTTTCCCCTTGACAAATAGGACTTAGAATTGATTTTCAAGATGTTTTTCTACCTCAGCAATTTTAATATTACAAGTCATTGATCTGCTCTTTGTTTTGTCCTTCTGTTTCTTAGATAAAAAGGTGATTGTAGAACTTATGGTATTAGATCATTGGATTTGCTAAATATATAGCATTAATGAAGAATCTTTTTCATGTTGTGTTTGGAAGCTCCAGCTGTTATGAAGTGATGTTCCTATAATCTAGATATCTAGTGTGATATTTGAATTTTGATTTGATGATTCGTCCTGTTCAGGGAGTTAAAATTGCAGATCAACATGTATGCATATCATGATGGAGGACATATATTGATGATCCTTGGAATAACCCGTCATGGAAGCTTGGAGATGAAAATAGCTCAACGGTATAAACCTTCTCTTTCCCCTATTGGTAGGTAAAGTCATGAGTTGTCATGAATTGTTTAGTCTTGCTTAAAAGAGTTCCATTAAAGAGGTAAAGCAAATATCTTTTGGCCATCTTTTACAACATAGTGAACAAACATTCAATATTTGGGAATCACCGGATATTATGAAGTTTGGAAATTATTCCGCAAATAGTAGCTTGTAGAAGTAGCTAGCATAACTCTTATATCACTAAGTAAAAAGAGGTTATTTTTTAATTATTGAGCTATGTTACATGGGCCATACGAGTATTGCGTACAACCAGTGTTGCAGCTGATTTGGGTAGTCATGGTGTTAAAAAGTGAATGTTTTTGGTCAAGAAAACCCATTTTCTGGTAATGATTCTTGACTTCTTTAAATTGTTCATATTATATAGATTCGCATATAAATCAGGAGAGTTTTGTTGTATATCAATAGAGTATCTTGTTTGATAATGAGTTACTAATTGTGCTTGATGTGATATGATCATGTGGGTTCATTTGCAGCACTAGAAGAAGCAATCCTTTTGCTGCATTCATAACTTTAGAATTGTTATATCACAAGGGTGGTGACCTGATGGGTAGTAGGCGGTATATTTGTCCTGTTGTTATTGTGATCTCTGGTTCCTTATGAAAATGCCCTTTATGGGGTTGGGTTATAATTTGTTGTGAGGTGTTTATATACATGGCATAGGTTGCACAGAATATACAGGTTATGGACAAATTAAAAAAAATAAATAATAATATCATGTTTTTGGCCACTAAATAATTGGTAGCCAAGAAGGAAATAAACATTTTTAGCGACTAAATAGTTAGTAGCTAAAAAAAAGTAAAACGAAAACACTATAACACTAAGCCTTATTATTGTAACCTAACACTATAACACTAAGCTCCAGTATTTTAGCTAAATTTATGTCAATTTATTAGGGCTTAAAACAGGAACTCAAGCCTTATTATTGTAACCTAACACTTCCAATACAAGAGTGGCCTTCAAGGCAGAATCAGAGACGCATCAAGTTCCATGCAGTCCACTGCTGGACTTGCCATTTTCATGTTGTGTGTGTGTCAGCATGTAAATGGATTGTAATGATCACTATTTTGTTAATACTCAGCGTTGAGCTCTCCAGTAATTGTTACCTTAATGTAGATAAAGGGATCAACCTTTTGTAGTCTTATAGCTAAACTGCAACATAGTGCTAGGGTTCACATTGCAGGGGGTATATGCAGATTCAGATGGCTATCTAGATAAATAGAGATTAGTGAACCACTCATATATTGGCTAACTGCACTAAACCCATAGAATATACACTCAAATCTTTGGAGATATTCAAGTATGTTTCTCATAACACTCAACCCTCAAAATCTGCGATAGAGCTCCTCAAGCTGCTGCACAAGTTAGCAAACAATTAGAATAACACACATTTTTGTTGACCTTCACTCAACTCTCATTTAGAAAACTCACATCAGATTTAGTCATGTGCTATTACTTATGATAAGCATTTATGTTGGCTAAAACCACTTTGGACATCAAGTAATCTTGATGAATTCTTCAGAGGCTTCTAATATTCTTTATGGCGTTGTGCTGCAGAATGTTTCTGAGTTTTATGGCCTTGATATCCTTGCATGCTTCTATTTACAGAGTGTGATATACGCTCATGCTTAAACACTCTTCAGTTTCTCCACAAGAAGAAGGAAACCCTCAATATGGTATGATATTCAGCTGATCATGCTCTAGCATACTTTTTGTTAGTTAATAGTGGTTGAACATATATTGCTATGTTATATTCAGTTAAGGGTTTAACTAGAATAAGATTTTTTGGAAAATTCCTGTCTAATTAAAATCTTTTTTCAGACTATCTGGCTAAGGCAACTAATTAATTTTGTTGTATGCACTTTAAATCTGGCATGCATATAAGCCTTTTAAAATATTTGAATTGTCTAAGCCAACGCATCACTCATATATCAAAACAAACCCAATTCCCAAACAGCCCCTGAACCACCATACAGATGTCACGGCCACCTTCCCCGTGACAAATAGGACCTGTAATAACAGTCAGAATACAATTAGCATGTGTAGGTTGGGACTTACAGCCGAAAATGCCTTAAATCTTAACTGAAAAAAGGCATTAAGGGGGCGAAACAGCGAAACTACCCCCGAACCACCATACCAATGTCACAGCCAGCTTCCCCATGAAAAATAGGACCTGTGACAACAGACGGAATGTAATTCGGGCGCGTAGGTTGGGAATTAGAGCCAAAAACGCCTTACAGTTAACCGAAAAGGGGCGTTAAGGGGGTGAAAATGCAAAACAGCCTCCGAACCATCATACGAATGTCACAACCAGCTTCGTCACGAAAAGTAGGACCTTTGACAACAGATGGAATGTAATTAGCACATGTAGGTTGGGAGTTAGAGTAAAAAACGCCAAAAACTAAATCGAAAAAGGGCGTTAAGGGGGCGAAAATGCAAAATAGCCTCTGAACCACCATATGGATGTCACAACCAGCTTCCCCATGGAAAATAGGGCCTGTGGCAATAGACAGAATGTAGTTAGCATGTGGAGTTTGGGAGTTAGAGCCGAAAACGCCATAAACTTAACCGAAAAGGGGCATTTAGGGGGCGAAAATGCGAAATAGCTGCCGAACCACAGTATGGATGTCACAGCCAGCTTCTCCATGACAAATACGACCTGTGACAACCTGCGAAATGTAATTAGCACGTGTAGGTTGGGAGTTAGAGCCAAAAATGCCTTAAACTTAACCGAAAAGGGCGTTAGGTGGGTGAAAATGCGAAACGGCCCACAAACCACTCTACGGATGTCACAACCAGCTTCCCCATGAAAAAAAGGACTTGTGTTATGATTCTACATTGTTTGACTACTATCTTTTCAGGTGGCGTTTGTTTAATATATTTTTTTCCTATTTTTGTTTCACTCTAGGACAGTCTCCAATATTTTTGTAGTAAAAGAGAGCATGCTGTGCTTGGGTTTTGAACTTATTTTCCTTACTTCACCACAAGAAGCAATAGATTATTTGATCCATGACCTCCACCATTTCTCGATTTTTCCACAGCTTCTGCAAGTTTTGCCCCTTTGGCTACTTCACTGTGGTTATGTAAAATTTCTTTTATCTTCAATGGAGGGACCCTCAGGGAGCAATTTTTGACTGGAGTCTTAGGCATTGTCAAGAAATTGAATTAGGGTGTTGTGTGTCTTTGTACTATTTGAGATGACCAAGTGGTTTTCTCAAATTGTTAAAATGATTGATGTCTATTTTCACCACATACAAGATTCCAATAAATTGTCTCATCCTCATGATATTTATTTCTATAATCAATTTGTTGGTTGCATCATTGACTACATATTCTTATCAATACAATTGACTCATATTATTTGTCCATTTTGTGCCAAGTTTGCAAACCACCTTTGCTCTATGAGACTGTGACAACTTCGGCGATGGAAAAAACTTTAAAAAATTAATGAAAGAAAGGGAAAGGGAAGATAGTATTACGTAATATTGGTTTAGTCATTTTAGAAATTCATGTTGTATTTGATCATTTGTTTTGCCAAAAGGTATTTTCATTACTATGGACAATTGCTACATCAACAAAATATGCTACAGGCTTATGTGAGGACAGGTTATATCACTGAGCTTTGATTTGTTGCTTCCTGATCTTGTTGTAGGTGTTCGCCTTCTGTTTTTGTAATTAAAAATTCTTTGTTAAAGGCATATGTGCCATTGTGCTGCTGGTAAAATGGTTTGTATCTTGTCAAATTTTTTGTTTTTCCTTAATTGTAAAGAAATGCATGCCTATACTGAGTAGTTATAGATCACAAGGTGCATGTGTGAGTGACATGATAAACATGCTTGTTTCAGGAACCTATTATGCTGCAGTCATTGAGAATTGCACTAATTTTGTTGGTCGTGTTGTGGTTGTGGATGTTGGTGCTGGTAGTGGTATTCTGTCATTATTTGCCGCTTTGGTTGTCTATGTTTTATCTGTGTTTGCGCATGAAAATATACTGACATAATGGATTTATCTTTGTCTGTTGGTCTTCTAGAATTCTATCCCAACTTCACCCTCTCATTTTCTCTACCTCACTTTTTTTCTCATATCAGGTTGGTGCTAAACATGTTTATGCAGTGGAAACATCTGAAATGCTAGCATATGCCTGCAAACTCACTGTAGTCACAACCATAGATCACCTTTCGACGAAGCTTTGGTTTGAATCAATTCTTCCTCATCTGCTACAGGTACAAGCTGTCATATTAGATTGGAGCATGTGTGTGGATTTTAGCTTGTCGTATTTTGGTGAATTTCAGATGTGCTTTGTAGAAGACTATAGTATTTGATCCAAGCATTGGTTTTTCTGTGCTGCGAAAATGAAGAATGTGTATTTTCTATATCCAAATTTTTGTCATCTCTTATGTAATTTGTGAAAGAACAACTTCTACTGATAGAAAACCAGGAAGCAGAGAAGAATAAGAAAGATAGAAAAATGAAGATCTAGATTTTATTACTAATTTCTTTAGAGAGAAAACAATACAACTCAGGTTTTATATATTCTGAGCCATATTGTGTTGATTTTGTGGAAACATATACAACTGGATCCTGCTGGTTTTAAGAAAAAGATCTAAATAATATGAGAAGAAAAATTCTCAGACTGATTGTTACTTGAAATTGAGAAATGTAGAACCCATCTCCAAATTTTTTGGTGAAGAATTCAGTTGGTTTCATAGGGAAATTTGGTCTATAAGGAACACTGAAGTTAACAAGAGCTGCGACTCTCTCTGGTCTGAATAAGCAAAGGAACCAAGCAACTTGAGTACCTCAGTCATGTACTATCACAAATGCCTATATAACAGCACAACAACACTCTGTTACATAAACTTCATATCCCAAATGATTTGCTTGTAGCACTGAACTGAATGTGAACTATATGACAACTAATCTAGATTTTTATGCCTTTAGTTGAACTATGGGATATGATTGTAGTACCCAATTTTGCATGGTGATAGAACTAGGGTCAGACTTCTCTATAATTACTTGGCCACCTGCTGTGAAAATTACGTTTTCTCTTACAAGTTACAAGTCCGTGGTAGATTGGATGATCACATAGATTGGACTGGATGATTTTGTGATTTAAAAAAAGTTGAACTCAAACTATTTCTTGTTCCAATTGGCCTGATTTGGTTTCAGTTGAAATAGTCTTCTTTTTTTTTTTTGGAGAAGGAGGCAGAGATTACTAAAAAAATCCTTTGTCAAACCTCATCTCATAGTATCAAAAGAAATTTATGGGAAAACATGAAGATATCATTATTATTTTACTTTTTGAATTCTGTGCCAGAACATTTATTGTAACTTGTAAGTTAGAGTTTGTGAGAAAAATAACTTAAATAAATTATTTATTCTGAAATTAGCAAATGGATACTTTGCTCAATTTAAACAAAGGTCTCATCTTGATTTTAGTTACATGAAACATTTTTATTCTTGGATGAAGCATCATATTTGTGTTACTATTAGTTTATGATTTTGTGCCACTCAACCCCCATAAGCTTATTAGATTACTGTATATGCATTTATCCTTGTGACATTTGCTAGATGATACCTTGAATTTAGCATTGCGTCATAGACGCTTCAAGAAATTACAAGCAAATTGAATAGATTATTGCATCATAGGCGTTATTAGTTTTTTTTCTGTCACTTAGCTTTTTGACCTGAGGCTTTTTCACTAGATAACTAGTTCATGCAAGCTTTTGGTGGCTCCACTAGGTGTAGTTTGGGTTCTTGTGTTGCTGTGTATTAAAAATTATTTTTCTAATTTAATTATGGTGTTTACATTGTATGAAACAATCCAATTTAATTATTTGTTGGCATTTACTAATAGTGTTTGATATAGCTTTTTGGTTATCCTAACTTCTATAAAAGGAATTTTGCACATTCCAAATTTAATTTGATCATATATGAGTCAGATAACATATAGACTAGTTGTTTGTACCTCTGGCTACAATGTAACGGAAGTCTCGATGATTTTCAATTTGCAAGATTTTGGTTCTGTTGATATTGATGTTATGATTTTGGGGAGTACTATTGACCAGTGGCTCCTTCACCAACCCTTTAGACCATATTGTATCTTGTGCACACACATGTAACACCCGCTAGGCAAAGTTAGTACTTTTGGTTTTGGGCGGGATTCTCTTTCTTTTTTTATTTCTTATGCGATCTAACTAATTCCATTGTGACAAGCCATGGAACTTTAGTTTGGTTATTGATGGATGCCATGTTCACATGCCATTTTGATATATATAAGTTTGAGTCATTGAATGCTTTTAGGTTCCATTCCTTTCTTCCCATATTTTTATGAGGCTACACAAGGCTGAGAGCTGGAGAATGTAATGATTTAAACCATTTTAAGATGTTATAATCGATAATCAATGGACTTCCAAATAGCGACTTCAATTATGGAAAGTAGCAGTGTCATTGTGCATGATAAATAGTGTGCATAAATTGGTTTCTTTAGGATTGAAACTTTTTTAAGGTTCCATTTCATTTTATTTTTGCATTTCATTTTCTGGAAAGAGAAGAATATTAACATGTTGAAAAATCCAAATGCTATTTGATACAGATTAGGGGAACAATTAGAGAGAGGAATTGAATAGATTACTTGTAGGTTGCGAAAAGAAAAGCTATTTGATCCAAATGCTATTTTAAATTTTTGCTAGGTAATGCAATGCCCAATTTTCACTCTCTTTTTTACTTTCTTGCCCAATTTCAAATTGTACTATTTTATTGTCATAGTCATGAGATCCTGAGTATCCTAGATTGCTTTTTCTCAACTGGGTTTTTTCCCTTCTACATTTATTGCCCCCCCTCCCCCCACACGTTCATTAGAGTATTTTTGTATAAGTACTGCTTTATATGTATTTGTAATTGTTTATGCCTTTTTTTTCCTTCTACATTTATTGGCCAGCATACACTTGATAATCAGAGTATATTTGTATAAGTACTGCTTTATATGTATTTGTAATTGAGTATGTTTTTTTTATTCAGATTAGATTGAGTGTAGAAGTTCCACCAGCTATGTGTGAGGATTGTTACAAAAGGGTCATGAATGAGTTCATGAAGCAATCAAAGGTACTGTTGTGTTACCATCTAGTTTTGCTTCTACATGGTATGATGTGATGGTTAGACTCACAAATTTTCCTTAATGAACATCTTACATACAAGCAGGTCCAACCGTTTCTTGGTGTTGTAAATTATATGGCCAATTTTCTTCCTTATATGTCCAAATATAGGACTCCTTTACAGCCCAATTAAGGAAGAATGCTCCCTAGTGGGATGGAATATAAATTAACAATATTTTATGTGTCTATATGATCATTTATTTGTTGAGCATTTAATTTATGAGTTCTGTGTTATGAATTCAGTTGTAGTTAAACTGGTGCTATAGCACAGTTGCTTACTCTTAGAAAAATTCCTGACTCAAATTCTTAAAATTTCTGTTGTATGGTGTTCTTTACGCAATTAGCATCACTGATTTGTCCAGCTGTTGCAAGGTGTTATTTTTCAATTAGAAGATAATCGAGTTCAAATAATTTTTCAATATTCTTGGAGCTGATTATTTTGTCAATTAATGTGCTCTTTGTATCTATTTTTGTTTTGGCATCCAAGTTAGTCAACTAATATATTGATGTATATTTTTGCAGGTAATGTTGAGGGAGTAGTTGATATGATTGAGCGGGTGATATTGAGAGCTAAACTGAGATTTATTTTTTTATTTTTGTGAGTACTCAAATACATTAGTATTTTGTATAAATACTTGTAAGGATGGTTGATGCATATTTGTTTTGCATGTATAGAAGCTAAAATTTGTAGCACACTTTTTTTTTTTTTTTGAAGATAATTTTGTTGAGGGAAGTGATGGATAATAATACATGAGTATTGCAAATATCACTTTACATTTATTGTATATAATATTTGAATATATATATATATATATATATGAGAATATAGGTTGCTAAAACATTGTAGGCATTTTTTTTTTTAATTTTTTTGCGACAGCAACAAGATGGTCGCTAATGTATTATAGGCATTTTTTATTTATTATTTTTTTTGCGATAGCTTCACATTAGTCTCCATAGATAGATTAGGCGGTCGCAAATAGTTTGCGACTGTTGTTTTGTGGTCGCAAAAAGTATTTGTTACCCCCACATTCACGACCCCAATTTGCCATTGCATGGGCCGTCACAAAAGGTCTTTTGCAACAGTTTGTAGCTGTCGCAGAAAAGTACTTTTTTTAATAGTGTTATAACGTGTTACAGCTTAGCTTTTGATGTGGTACAAATTAATTTTGATGCGGTACATATTACCTTTTGATGTGGTACAGATTACTTCTTTGGCATGGTATAGATTACCTTTTGGCATCGTACAAATTAGTTTTTGTTGGTACAGATTAACTTTTGGATATTAATTTTGTTTAATCCTCTGTTATGTGTGGAATTATATTTTTGATGTTGGATTATACTTTCGTTTGTATGGAATTTGTATTTCATTTATAATTATATGAATTTTTTTGATAGTTGAAAGTGAAATGTGTGCATGCTGTAGAATGGTTGTTAATTTGATCAGTATATGGATTATTTTATTTATATACAGGGTGCACTAATAATGGAATAAATATAGGTGGTCGATAAATTAATTAAAAAAAAAATTATAAAGTTTTTGGTGACTAAATATTTTGATAGTGAAAAATGCAAACAAAGGTTTTTCGTGACTAAATATTTAGGTCAAGTTTGACATATATCAAAAAAGTCAAAAAACCAAAAAGTTATTCAAAAAGTTAAAAAGTTAACACTATTCACCAAAAGTCAACAATTACGGCTGCACAACTCCCAATACTAATTTTTCCTTACAAATCAACCTACAAATCAATTTTTACAAGTACAGATTACTTTTTTGGCATGGTATAGATTACCTTTTGGCATCGTACAAATTAGTTTTTGTTGGTACAGATTAACTTTTGGATATTAATTTTGTTTAATCCTCTGTTATGTGTGGAATTATATTTTTGATGTTGGATTATACTTTCGTTTGTATGGAATTTGTATTTCATTTATAATTATATGAATTTTTTTGATAGTTGAAAGTGAAATGTGTGCATGTTGTAGAATGGTTGCTAATTTGATCAGTATATGGATTATTTTATTTATATACAGGGTGCACTAATAATGGAATAAATATAGGTGGTCGATAAATTAATTAAAAAAAATTATAAAGTTTTTGGTGACTAAATATTTTGATAGCGAAAAATGCAAACAAAGGTTTTTCGTGACTAAATATTTAGGTCAAGTTTGACATATATCAAAAAGTCAAAAAACCAAAAAGTTATTCAAAAAGTTAAAAAGTTAACACTATTCACCAAAAGTCAACAATTACGGCTGCACAACTCCCAATACTAATTTTTCCTTACAAATCAATTTTTACAATTTTTTATTACACATTTTTCCATAAAAAGTCAAAAAGCTAATCCAAACATCCATATTTTCTTCCTCAATTTTTTAGTCCAAAAAGACAAAAAGTGTACTTTTTTAGGACACCCCAAACAACCCCTTGGTAGTAAATAAGATGGCACAAAAGACTTTTAGTGAATTTTTTTTGGATACTATGTGTTTGCGCGTGCAATTGTAACTTGTTTATTACCCTAATTAATTTCAATAGACTTGATTAACTAATAGTAATTTTAAAATTGAGTCGGAAATTTTTTTCATAATTTGGTAACTACTCGGTATGGGTATGACATGTTTGTCGACATATCCTGCTTTATAATCTCGAGATAATTCTAAATGAGAATTTTTATATTTATTTGCAAAGTATATATTATTTAAAATCATTTTCATAAATTGGTAGTGTTGGTGTAAGAGGCGGTAACCTTTGTCCAATCCATTTGGATCCAATTGTAATTGAGTTTGTATAATAAAAGTCATTTAAATTATGACGAATTTCTCACATAAAATTACATAATTATATAATGCTAATTGAATTTATAAATATTTATACACAAGCATCAACATACACCATTATAACCTTACAATTGCTACAATCATCACTAATATTGATGCAACCATCATCACTGTCACCACCAGCACCACCACTACCCCACCACCACCACCATTATGAAACCACCATTGCTATTACCACCACCTTCATCATTTTCATTGTTATCATAAAGCATACAATTATTTCAACTAGTGAAATTTCATTCTCTTTAAATACTGGAATTTAACCTTAATATTTAGGTGAAATTATTAAAAAAAATGAAATTTCTAGTAAAGAAGTAAAAAATTATAAAATTAAAGACAAAGACGAACTAGCGAGTAAATAGAAAACTTATGAGTTAGAGAGAGATGTTACCAATGGTTTCGTTGGAGCAACAAGTGATTGTCACTATATTTTTAATTAGCTAATGATAATTTATTTTTCTTTGTTAATTTGTTGTCTAATTAATTCTATAATGTGTAATTACAAAAATTTTAATATTGTTTAATTAAAACTTGGTAGTAATAATTATTTCATTATCTTCAACTAGTGAAATTTCATTCTCTTCAAATAGTTAAATTTAGCCTTAATGTTTAGGTGTAATTTAACTATTAGCAAAGTGAAATTTCTAGTAAATGAGTAGAACTTATAAACTTAAATGCCAAAGATGGAATAATGAGTAAATTAGTGTATTTATTGAAGGGTTTAATTGTATCATTTTATAGTTTAGGTAGTAAAGTAATAGTTTGTGACAATTTCAGAGAGGGGGATGTAAAGTAAGACTTTATGCTAGTTTTAGTGGAGATGAGTAAATTGATACCTTATGATAACTTTAGGAAGGTCAAATACTAAAAGGGGTATGGGACATTTTCGTATGGCGGAAGAAAGGCCTACAAAGATATAGAATTGCAAAAGAATCACGAGTTCAATGAGAGAAAAGTATGCTTTGAACCCTTTGACAATTGCTTCCATAAATTTTAATTTTTTTATCGACAAAATAGAGATAGAGAGATATAAAGATAAAGGTAGAAAAAAAAATAAAAATAAAGGCTTGCGATGGATCTACATGAGTGTCAGTAGATCTAAAATTTGATTGCCGCAATAATGGTGATGGACAATCATAAGACAGAGTTTGCACGGTGCTGGATTGTCATGAGACAGAGTTTGTATGGTGACAGACAATCGTTATGGATATTCAATTATTTATTTATGACAATAAAAAATAATATATCTTTTTTGGGCTTGGTTTCTCTCTAGTCTGTGATCAGACTGGAGGCAGCGTTGGGCCCATGAGGGCTTATTACGAGTCCCGTTTTGATAATTTGAGCCGTTCAATGTGTAGAAGTCGTTGAGTACTATATGTTTGTAAAAAATTACATTGATCGGATATCAATAGCTATCTCATCGGATCAAATTTATGTCAATCATTTATTTTTTCACCGTCCATTTTTTTTATACAAAACTAATTTGATCACATAGTTAGCGATATCTGATTAACGTCATGTTTTACAAACATATAATACTCGATGATTTCTCATGCCTCTCTCTCTCTCACAACTACTTGCGATGGCCATAGCCATCGCCACCGCCACCGCCACAGCCATAAATCACCACCGTAGCTCTTGCAATTGGTTAGGCACGTAACTAATATAAAATTTCTTTAATGTTAATATTACGAAGTTTTAATTTAATTTTATAATTATTAAATAAACCAAAAAAATTAAGATAAATTACTAATAGGTCCTACTTTTGGGACTTATTACCCATTAAGTCTTATTAATAAATTTATCAGTCCTATAGGTAAATAAAAATCTAGTTAACAGGACTATTGGTAAGTGACTAAAAAAATTATTAACTAACTATAACAGTTCAAATAATTATGTTATTAAATTATTAATTTAAAATGTTAAATTACTTTAATGTTAATATTAATTAAATTTGTTACTATTTGTAATAACTATTAATAATTAAATAATAAATTATTAAGAACATAATACTAATTATTTTTAAATATAATTATTATTTATGGATTAAAATCATAAAATTCCCTAAATTTATTTTCGCATTTAGAATATTAATTAAACTTTAATAAAGGTAAAATTACAAACATAAATAATAAAACTTAAAAAAAAATGTATAAATTTAGACCAATTTTGTTCCAAATTCAAATTTCTTCTCAATATTTGAAACAAACCCTCCAAAATTTTGCCTACATTCAAATTCCCTCCTAAAATTTGGCCTAAATTTCTACTCCCTCCCAAACAGAAAAAAGTAGAGCAAAAACTCACTGGAAAGAGAGACAGAGAAAGATGCGTTCGAGAGAGAAAGAGCGAAGACAAAGAAGAGAACATGAAGAGAAGATAGAGGGAAGAGTAGTCATTCGGAGCGACAGCTTTGCTTGCGACGACCATTGCTCCGTCCGGTTGATGAAGACCCACGAACGTAGCAGATGAAGCCATCTCACCTCTCCCTCCGGCTAGAGCTCTTGTACTTCTTCCTCGCACCGCCCAATTTCAGGTACATGTTCAGATATTACGGTTTTGAGTTATGATTTGAGGCTTTTCAATTTCAAAATTAGGGTTTAGGGTTTTTCAATTTCACAGGTCCCTTTCTGTCGGTCTTTCTCCCTCTCTGTCGATCTCAGTCTCTCTCTATCGATCTCGGCCGTAAATCACTAGTTTTGCTCTCTTGGTCTTTCGCCCTCTTTGTCTATCTCGGCCACAAATCACAGGCTTTTCTCTCTTTCTCTCTAGGTTTTTCTCCCTCTCTGTCGATTTTTAGTAATTTATAGGGAAATTGTGATTTTTGCTTTTGGTTTAATCTGAAATTGACACTTTGAACAGATGAGTAAGGGCTTCAAACTTATGTGTACTCCCTAATCACTATGCTTATGGATTTGTATAAGGTCTTTTCACAAAAATAGAACAAACTGAAAAGACTAAAATGTTTCGTTTAAGAAAATTACTCTTTTTAATGTTATCTTGTAAACTTTTTTTAGAGCTTTATTTGGTATGGATCGGACAATTATTTGCTATGTTAGATGAGGCAATTTGTAATGGTGGTTTCTAGGTTTGGTTCTATGTATCTATTGTTGAACTTTTTAAAGGCATACATAATGTTGTAATTATTGAAGTTATAGCTACTTGGTATTTTTGTTTTTGTTTCTTTGAGATTCATATGTTTGTGGAATTGCAGGGAGTGGCTGATCAAGTCTGTCTTAGTCTCTTGCCTACTAGTGAGGGTAGTTCGGTCACTGTTGCAAGGGCATTGAGGTATTTTTATTTGATTATTTTATAGTTCATACCTCTTGAGTTTTGATGTCCTCTTGTTGTGGAAACTGGATGAGTGCTTCATCTCACAATCACTCTATCAATCTACTTGTGTAGCATCTTTCACACATGGAAGCATTGTGGCGGAGCTTTGATGCAAAAACTGATAAAGCATAACCAGCCATTGAAATCAGGGTATATGGATGCTTTTACTGAGTGTGAGTGGCGTAATACATGAGTTTGAGTTTAGATTACTTGTTATAGTTGGAGTTCTAGGGAGAATGAGTAGGAATATGGATTTTTCTAAAATTAAAAATGAAAATAAGGCAAGGATGGAAGGGTGTTAGCTCAATAGAATAGGAAGGCTCACACTTCCGGGTCTTCTGAAACCTCATTAATAGTACTGAATATTCGTAAGTACTAAAGTTTTGAAAGGTTAAGTTTATCCATTATAAATACATGTCAAAATCACATATATCCTTTAGTGATGAGTCGAATCTCTTTGATGTAAAATTTTGAGTTTGAACGTGTTAACTAACAAACTTAATAGGTCGCCAAAAGTTTTTAGATTTAAGCATTCAATGGGGTTGCCAAACAATCCCATAGTCCCATCTCTTTTTGTTTCTTTATCCCCTAATAGATTCTTTTTTTTTTTCTTTTTTTCTTTTTTCATGTAGTCCAGCATCAACTCATCAAGAAAACCCTTAATCTCTTTTCTGTTATAATGATCTGGGTGGAATTTATTTATTTAATTTTCATTTGTTGCCAGTGATACCTGTATAGATTCATACGTTTGTATATAATGATTCGTTGTGATAAGAGTGAATTTGTATTGTTCCCTTCTGCAGCTAGGGAGAAAGCTATGGTTGTCAACTTAGAGTTTATAAAGGCTATAGTTACAGCTGAAGAAGTGCTGTTGCTTGATCCTCTCTTCCAGGAGGTTCTTCCGTTTGTGGATCAGCTGCAGCAACAACTTCCTCATAAAAGCGTGTCCAAAAGTCAAAGAGGGGGTCAAATGGATGTACAAGATAATGAAATGCAATTATCATCTGGGGGACAATGGTTACCCATTCCTGAAGCCGTTGAAGGTTTGAAGTGTGACCTCCCATTTGAGTTTCAAGTTCTCAAGATTGCATTGAAGGTTGTTTGTACATATTTGGACTCTAGTGTAGCAGACCTTGAGAGAAATGCTTATTCTGTATTGGATGAACTAGTGAGGAATGTTAGCACCAAGAATTTTGAGCGCGTGAGGAGTTTGAAAAGCAATCTGACCAGTTTACTTGCACGGGTGCAAAAGGTATACATTATTGATTTCTTTTTTCTACTAGTTACAACAAATTACTTCATGGTGTTGGTGCACTTGCTAGTTATTTATTTATTTTTGTTTTATCAACTTTGATGTGGAAAACTTATACATGAGAAAAGAGGAAAGCCCATGTATCTCCAGTAGTCTATTTTAAATTGTGTATCTTCTTTGCATGAAGTGTAAAACCAGGTTGGAGTGTAGATGTCAGTCGTCGGCTAAATTGGCGGCAATTGGGTCTTGTTGCATTCATTTTCCCTCTTTTGTTTATCTGCATATAAAGAATTTATGGATGTGTTTGGTGCATCCTTCTAGTGGCTATTTGGTAAGATGAATCCTATGTCCTTTGGGGAGGAGAGGTCCATTGAAGTAGAACAGCGTGTTGAGATAATTTACAAACTGGTTTGTACAACTTTTGTGCTGTTGGATGCTAATATCTAGTGGGAAATTTAGGGCTTCTAATGGTTCAAGGCTAATTGCACTCTCATACACTTTTTGTGCTCTAGTCTTGTAATTTAGTGGCATGCTTCACAATACATGTCAATTGTCATAGATTTCTGCACCCCCTTGTGGTGTCATTCCATCCAGGAGCAGTTAAATATACTATAGAGAACTCAATATTGAACTATGCATGTATGAACATAGCAAAGAGTTCAGACATGGACTGTCACGACCCCATTCCGCCCCTAGTAGAATGGTGCCATGATGGCTAGTAATCCGAGATTACCGACGGCCAACTTTCAAAATTCACACGCAATCAGAGTATTACGTATGGGGCTAACATGAGCGGAAGCAATATGTACAAATGTAATTAGTCCATAAGAGCAGTGCATAAGTTAATGGAATGGCATACATCTTTACGTAGCTTTAATACAACAAAAATACAATGAAACACAACTAAGAAGCATAATCTTCAAGATGCTGCAATAGTGCAAGATCCAAAACAAGTAGCAAGTACATCTAGGTGTCACCGCCGCCCTGCTCGTCACCTACATATATATAGAGAGGGGTGAGCTTGGATACTCAGTGAATGGTACAAATAATAAAGGGGTTTATATGAATGATATCCGAAATCTTCATCAAATCAAGGCATAACACATCTTGTACAAAATCCAAGGGCAAATCAAGTTTATCTAACAAATCTTTCAAGTCTCAACAATTAAAGTCTTTCAAGGCTTCCAAGTTCCAAGGGATGACATTAACAAAGGTTGTGCTACAAATGCTTATAGTCCCCTAGCATGTACGGACTTTCAAAGGTTGTGCTACAAATGTTTATAGTCCCCTAGCACGTACGGACTTTCAAAGGTTGTGCTACAAATGCTTATAGCCCCCTAGCACGTATGGACTTTCAAAGGTTGTGCTACAAATGCTTATAGTCCCCTAGCACGTACAGACTTTTCAAGATTGTGCTACAAATGCTTATAGTCCCCTAGAACGTACGGACTTTTCAAGGTTGTGCTACAAATGCTTATAGTCCCCTAGCACGTACGAACTTTCAAAGGTTGTCAAAACCAACCTAATACTTGATACACAAAATAGGGATAGTTATTTATGCTTAACAAAATACTTTTCCAAAACAAGCAAGGCAAAACTTTATCAAAACTTAATAACATAACTTTATTAAAAATACCACTCACATAGTTCTTCAAACGTCGGGGCTACAGGCAAGGATCCAAGTCCTACAAGCACATAACAAATCCCATTGAATGCACTATCAAACAAGCTTTACATGAATGCAAGTAACCTCGACATTCTTTCAAAACTAAGGCGATCCAAAACAAAACACTGTTCCTCATCTTGGGAAAACATAATGGGCACCAACCAGATCTTGGCCGAGGTCCCACACCTCCTTGCCGAGGTGTGGTCCTAATGGCCACATCCAAGGAAATGAAGTCGGGAAAAACTGGGTTCCCTTTTTTTTGAAAAATATGAACATGAAGAACATGGATGCGAAGATCATACCTTATCATTACAAAATCTGAGATTTCATGATATGAATTCAAAAACATGGACCTAGGTACCCATACTCGAAGATTTTATGAAAACAAACACAAAAACATGAATCTCGATGCAAGTTTTTGGATCAACCAAGGCTTTTTCTTTAAGAACACATGAACACTATTTTCTCTTTCTAAAACCAAACTTTAAATCGATGCATGACTTGCAGATCAGGTTCGATCATGCAATGCAGCTAGATGATCAATAAGAACAACAAGAGTAGATTAAGATTCTAACTTCAAGACACGAATCTAACGGTTTGAACTCTAAGGATCAAGCTTGGAAATCTATTCCTCCTCTAAGAACTTCTTCTTCTAGAGCTTCTCTCTCCTAATAAACAAGGACATATAGCCAATGATACATTTCTAGGTCTGCTGGCTGACTTAACACTCAGCTAGGACAAGTGGCACTACCGGGTTGGTTCTCCTCAAAAAGGTGGCTGAGTGAAAAGACAAGACTATGACAAAGTGTGTTCTACAAGCAAGATGGCATAGGCACTTCGGCTGGTAATGACCTCGGCTAAGAACAAGACATCGGCAAGTAGGGGAACAATGATCTCGGCTAGGAGGGACAACACTTGACTAAGCTGTGCCACACCTTGGCCTAGATGTGCCACACCTCGGTCTAGGTCATACCACTCCAGGACAAGATCACAGACAGGTCGACTTAGGTGCAAAGGTAACATTCGGCCTAGAAATACACATCTCGACCTTTGGTGATGAACACCTCGGCCTAGATAATGACATCTCGGCCAATATGTCAGGGCGAAGGTGGAGGTCAAACAAAGTGGTTCCAGATAATTCTAGACTGCAGATGACTCGGCTAAACTCACACCAAGCAAGGTACAAAACATGCGAGAAACACTTAAGCAAGACAAATCAAGGTTTGCAAAGATGCAATATATCAAGACAAGATCATGTAATATATGCAAGCATGACTAAGGTAGAGTGAGGGTCTCACATGCTACCCTCCTTAAAGAAGTTTGGTCCCCAAACTTAAATTACCTTGCTCTACAAGTAACCGGATGACGGCCCATTTTTCTTCCGTTTCCCATGTAGCATCCTTGTCGTAATGCTGTTTCCATTCAATTTTCACCATTGGTATCGATTTGTTCCTCAACTGTTTCACTTGTCTGTCAATGATTTTTATCGGCTTCTCCTCGTAGCCTAAATCTTCACTAACCAACAATCCCGGAATGATCAATTACATGCAGTGGATCCCAAATATACTTCCTCAGCATCGAAATATGGAACACTTGTGAACTTGACTTAGTCCCGGCGGTAAAGCCAGTCTATAGGCGGCTGGGTTGACCTTCTCAAGTATTTCAAATGGCCCGATGTAATGAGGTGCTAACTTACCTTTCTTCCCAAACCTGGAAGTTCCTTTCATTGGTGAACCCTTCAGGAATACATGATCCCCAACTTCAAATTCCAACTCTCTTCTTTCTGGTTGACATAGCTCTTCTGTCGACTCTGAGTGGTTCTGATTCTCTGTTGGATAAGCTTGATCTTTTCGGTTGTCCTTGAACTAGATCGGGGCCGATCAAAGCTTTATCTCCAACCTCGGTCCAACATATCGGCGATCTGCACTTTCTTCCATACAGGGCTTCATACGGCGCCATGCCAATGCTAGCTTGATAACTGTTGTTGTAAGCGAATTCTACTAATGGCAAATGCACTTCCCAGCTTCCCTTGAAGTCTAATATACATAGTCTAAGCATGTCTTCAAGTGTTTGAATTGTTTCCTCTGTTTGGCCATCGGTCTGAGGATGAAAAGCCGTACTAAACCTCAATTCAGTCCCCAAAGCCCTTTGTAAACTCTGCCAAAATCTAGAAACAAACTTTGGATCTCGGTCTGACACAATGGACATCGGCACTCCATGAAGTCTCACAATTTCATTTATATACAATACAGCAAGTCGGTCAGCATTGAATGTAGTTTGAATAGGCAAGAAGTGTGCTGACTTGGTTAATCTGTCAATGATAACCCAAATTGAATCCATGCTTTTTGTGTCTCCTGGCAAACCAACAACAAAATCCTTGGAGATGTGCTCCCATTTCCACTCAGGAATCGGCAAAGGTCGAAGTAGTCCTGCTGGCCTCTGGTGTTCTGCTTTCACTTGTGACATGTAAACACTGGGATACGAACTCGGCTATTTCTCTTTTCATATTCGGCCACCAAAAAATCTGTTTTACATCCTGATACATCTTGGTGTTCCCTGGATGAACTGCAAATTGGATCCATGAGAGTTTTGCAAAAAATTTTCTTTCAACTCTAGGACGTCGACCACGCACAATCTTCCTTCAAACTTAAGCACTCCATTCTCAAGGGTGTAACCTGACCTCGGCCTGGTGATAATCTCGTCGGCTACCTTCTTCAGGAATTCATCCTCCATTTTCCTTGCCTTTACTTCCCCAATAGTAGTCGGCTCCACTGAAATCATGGCTAGCATGCCAACTTCCCACTGACTTTCAACTCAATGCATCGGCTATCGAGTTTGCTTTACCTAGGTGATATTGAATTTGCATGTCGTAGTCCTTCAATAATTCAAGCCATCTTCTCTGCCTCAAATTTAGTTCCTTTTGAGTGAACAAGTACTTCAAACTCTTGTGATCTGTAACAACTTGGCAAGAGCCTCCATACAACTAGTGACGTCAAATCTTCAAGCGAACACTACGGCTGCAAGCTCTAGGTCATGGGTCGGATAGTTCTTTTCATGAAGTTTCAACTGACGAGATGCATATACTATGACCTTGCCCCGTTGCATTAATACACAACCCAAACCCTTATGTGAAGCATCACTGAAAATCTGAAATTCCTCATTACCCTGATGAAAGTACAAGAACTGGTGCCGTTACTAACCTCGTCTTTCAACTCTTGGAAAGCTGATTCTCTATCATCCGTCCATTCATATGCTGTT